ATCCTCCTGCCGCCTGGGGACTTGCCACCCACTCCACTTGGGAAGGGCCAGTGCTGCCTGTCATCTTCTCTCACTTCACCTACTGTCCACAGCAGGTGCACACGAGTACCACCCCTCTGCTAACTTGTGTTCTCCCTGACCCTTAGCACGTGGCACATGGCAAGGGCTAAATAAATGCTTATGGAAGGAGGATGAGTCCAGAAACTCCGAGGGCTTTAAAAGGGGCTCCGTGCTCACCATTCTGATCGTCAGAGCGCTGGAAGCATCCCGCCCACAGGGGCAGCAGGCTCCTCTGAAGAAAGGAGCTGTGGAAATGTGACTTGTTCTTGGGATTTTTCTCTCCATCACCCCCAAGCTCTCTGCCACGCTCCTCCTCTGCTCCCTGTCTTCCAACCTCTCTGAATGCCAAGATATTTGCATCTCAATAGAATAAAAGCCCCCTCCTCCGCAGCCCTCCCAAGTTCGGCCTGGCTTCCCTTCAGGTCTTGCTGCTCTGGCAGGCTGTGCACGCACGTGCACAGGCGGGCAGGCTCACATCACGTAGCGCTTACAGGCAGGTCTTGGAAAGCTGGGTCTTTGTCCCTCTGATCCCCCTGCATTTGTGGGCTCACAGCATGACTCTCGGTGGCTCCATGCACCACTTTCTATTGTCCTGTTTTTGTTGGTCTTGTGGCAGACCCAGGTGGAGAGCAACAGCAGGGAGTGGCAGGCTTTATAGCTAGGCATGGGACAGACCTGATGGCACTATCACGATTGCTGCACAACCCCTTCATCTGCTCTCACGTCCTTCCATCCACTTATAGAAGCATAGTCTCTCACAAGTTAGAGACATGGTGAACCAGGCCCCTGGGCAAAGGTCACGTGTGGACTCTACAGCCCCCTGAGGGTTCTGTGTGTACGGGGAGAGGTCCCTTGCTGACTCTTCATAGCACTGTTGGCCCCATAGCTGATATTTTAATTAATTACCATGAGCATCAGGGTTCCCATGAGCAGCCTTATTAACTAATTAACTTGCTCATAGTCAGCGTGTCCTCATTCCACGTGCAGCCTCGTCTCCACAACCCCTCCTATGGAGGACAGTTCTGATCAGATCCTTCCTCTGGGCAGAACCTGCAAGGGCTCCCCACTGCCTCTGCAATTAAGAACAAAACTAGGCCTGCTGCTGGGGGCCTCCTGACATGGGCCTCCTTGGCAAGAGGTCTTTCCTGCCTGTCATCCCCTTCCCATCATAGCTTTTTCACTCTAGGCTGTTTGCTGCTTTGAAAGCATCCTGCAGGAAGCTCTAGCCCATGTTTTTGCTCACCTGGACAACCTGAATCTCCTAGTGGGTCACCTAGCAGGATGGATGGATAGAAGGGATGGCCTTTGTAATGACCTGAGGCCCTGAAATAGCCTTTCTTTCTGAATTACAGACTCCCTGGGAAGAGAGGGCTGTTTCACTCCTATTTGCACTTCTGCCAGTCCTCACACCCAGGAGATGCTCTGTAAATATTTGTTTGATCAGGTGGACAAACAGACTCACATTTTAAAGGACTGGTCTTTCTCCAGGAAAGGAAGGAACTCCCTGTTATAAAGCCCAGGTTTCCAGGGCTCCAGACCCTCTGTTCACTGTTCACAGGGGGCTCCCCAATTCCTCAGCTTACATGGGAGGCATTGGTCACCTATAAACAGCCCCAGCTTCTTCAAACAGCTCAGAGGTGAATTCCAGATAGGAGACAGGGGCTGGCGTTGGGGCAGAGGGAAGGACTGAGGGAACCGCATGACCTGTGAACCCTAAGAAGAGAAGGCAGACCAGAGGCCAGAGGGGAGAGAGGGGGAAAAGAGGCTGCCTACAGGGGCAGGGCCTGGAGGGAGGACTATGGCTTTGGTATATATTTTCTGTTTCTGTATTTCAGGCTTTATTTCTGAGCTGCTCTGTTCCCAAGGCTGGAGATGAGGATAGATAGAAAGTAGGTGATTGCTACACTTGTCAGACCTCCCAGCCTGGCGCTGCCAAAGAGAACCGCAGAGTAGGAAAGCCCCTCACCTTAGAAAATAGGCCCACACTTGCCACTTTACAAGGGTCCTTATTCCTAGTAGCTGCCTGGAGTCGCCTGGGAGAGCTAAAACCTCCTGACGCTCCATCCCAGTCCAACCAATGACACCAGATGGGGCCTGAGCATGAGAGTTTGCTAAGGCCTCCCTTGATAATACTGACCTAACAAATCTAGGCATACAGCATCTCCTACATCCTCCTGGGCAGGTGAGATGGCCTTTGTTTCATACCCTATGATGTACTGGCCCATCTTGGGCTTGGCACCTTTCATGCCAGGCCAAGGCTGAAATGGAAGGAGCTTGGGAGATGCCATGGTCAAACCCTTCTTCTAGAGCCCTTCCCTGTCTACCGCAGCCCTCTCCTCTGGGTGAGGCCACAGGAAGCTGGCAGGTGCACGCAGCTGTACTGGCTCAAATCAGCTTTGAACAGATTGCTCATTCTTCAGAAACTTGTCAAGTCTGATGTTTAAAAATCCAAAACTAAAATGAGGTTATATACAATTACAGTTAAACTAATCACATTAAATACAAAGGTAATAACTGCTTAGCACTCATCACTTTCTCATAATTTTAAGCTATTTACATCTATCATTAGTTATTTCTATTGGAATTTTCCGCTCAGTATTTTCAGACCGCAGTTGCCCTTGGGTAACAGAAACTGCAGAAAGAAAAATGTTGAGATGAGGATCCACTGATCCATATAATGGTGTGCAGCTGTGCACTTCTTCCTAACTTGTTTAGGGACGCCATGTTGATTGCTTAAAATCAACTAGTGAGGACTAGGCTTTCTACCACAATCCTGGTGGCTGCAATAAATCAAGGCTTTTTCCCTCTAGATACTTGGTTGTTAAATATCACTAGGTGTGCATGTCTGTTGTACTGGGATTCTGGGGACAGGGACACAGCCACCTTTGTGCAACCATTGTCCTGACAATAGTGAGTGTGGAATGCTGGAATCAGGCTGGCTCCAGAATCTCTCTGTCTACTTCTTCCATCTGAGTGATGGGAGCAGTGTAAAATGGTGAGTGAGGGTTCAAGATAGATATTGTGGTGAACAGGGATATTGATGTCACTGGGACTTGGGCAAGCTGCTCATTCCTCACCTGGGTTATTTTAAAGACTTTTAAAAGAAGAGTTTGTAAAGGGCCAAGCACAGGGCCTGGTACACTCTTGGGGGTTAATGGAGCTACCACTGGGAACCAGAACCTTCTTTTGCCTAACTCTACCATCACCAACATGGGGCTCGGACAAGACCCCCATGACCTCAAAGTGCACATCTGGAACAGGAGAGGGCTGGGCTGCATGATCTGTAAGGTCCTTACCAACCTGAATATTCTCTGCCTCTGTGAATAAAACTGCAAGGAGGGTGATTTGAGTGTCTGAAGAAACTGGCTGTGCTGTAAAATCCATGATTAGTGTTTGAAAAGCCACACAAAAATAGTAATTATCCAAGTGTGGTAGGGAATCTTGGATTCTTTCATTAAGTTAACAAAATTGCCAATGAGATAGCATTCAGAAACATCAAATGACTTGATTCATTCCTCCTCCATGGGGACCTTTAAGGGGAATGCATCCCTTCCAGAAAGTTCCAGACGAGAAAGCAGCAGACACCCACTCAGCTGCTCAACCTAGCCCAGGCCAGGCTTGAATGTTATTTATGACCTACTTGTCATCACCATTTTTCATGCAATCACAGGACAGAACAGACACTGAAGGGAACCTCAGACAAGGGGCATGGATAGAGAGGTATCTTGGGGATTGCTTCTGAAACCCATAGCTCCTGTCCCTTCCAGAAAGACTGGGAACCCTAAGGGCAGGGAAGCAGGTGCATCAGGCCTTGCCCCATGGGCAGCAAATGGCCAAGGAGTCTAGCAATAAAAGAGTTTCCACTGAGAGTCTTGGGAAGCTTAAGAACATATATATTTATATATTGAGATTTATAAAACCAAACCTCATGATAGACACCCAGAGAGTGGTGCAGGCACCGCTAGCTAAGGCTGTTGAACTAAATCTTAAGTATGCACATCTGGGATCCCCTTAAGGGCAGCACACCACTTACTGTCATTGACCTCCCCCCCCCCCCATAGGCACTCAGTATCTTTCTCAAATGAATATCTAAGTGAATGAAAGAATGAATAGGCAAATCCTAAGGCAGCTGTATCAACACCGCAGTCTTGGCCTCCAGAAATTACCATGACCTGGTAAGGCAGATTTGGTGGGAACTGAAGTAGCTTGTGAGCTGTCCCAGGCTGAGAGAAAGGTCCTGTCTTAGAGCCCAGCTGGATGGAAAGCACAACCCCAGGCCCAAGCTGCTGCTACTTCTGCACGCAGTCTCCAGAACCGACGTTAATAAAACAGTGCCTCCATGGCTCACGTATTCTGCTCAAAAAGAATCCGAACTTCATGCAAAATACACTGCCTGATCTTTTCAGTTTGCAGTCTGTCCAGTTTGCAGGAGAAAGTAAGGTGTAAAAGTCTAGTGACTAATAGACACTACTAACTATCCAAGTACTGCTCAACCTGTTCTGCTCATCTCTCTCCCTCCTCCAACTCACAAAAACTCATCGCTCTTGAATGCTGGGTGCCCCACATTCCCCAGGTCCTTTCTCAGGGACTCCTCCCGTCTCTCTATGCGTTCTCGGTTACTGCATCTCCAAACCCCACAGCCCAAGGATGGGTTCATCTTCTCTCATTATCCGGGCTAGTTCTGTGCTGGTTCTCAGAGATCGCCTTCCTACGGTGGGAATCCGGGCCACTCTGCCCACCCCTCCCACCCCGCCTCCGTCCTGGGCTGCCCACCACCTGCTCCCGGGGGGGGGGGTGGGGGGGAACCCGCGCGGCCCCGGGATTCCTCCAATCCCCAAAGGCGCGGGGCCGGGACGCAGAAGGCGCGTGTGCGAGGAGGAGGCCAGGGTCGCGCCGGTGCTGACCGTCAGGTTCAAGTGCGGCAGGGCGGAGCTGCTTACCCGGGCATGAGGGCAGGGGGCACGTAGGCGGCATTGAACTCGCTCAGTAGTGTGCCCACGCTGCGGGAGGCCATGGTGGGTGCGGCTAGCCTCGGCGCTGGGCTCGGCCCTACTGTAAACAGCCCGCAAGTCACCGAGCAACCGAGCGCCTGGCAACGCGAGTCTGACCCCGAGTGCCATCCCCACCCCCCGCGTTCTGGGACACCGGGTCCTCAAGGCCGTCCCCTCCCTGGAGTAGCCCCACGGGGCCAGAAGATGCCTCCCCATCTCCACGTGCTCTGCTGTGAACTCCAGAGATCACCCTCTCGCCCCAGTCTCAGCTTTCAAGCCAAGAATGGGTCCAGCATTTTCAGGTTGAGAAGTGAGACAGAAGCAGAAACTAGTAGGAGAGGCCTGGATCCTTCAAACAGGACCCTTGGTGACCCATTTGGAAGGCTACAGCTGGGATAGGACAGGCTGGGCCCCAGCTTTAGAGGCGGCTCAGGCCTGGGAGCCAGAATGACCCCCAGGGACCCCAGGAGCCATCTCTCCCCATGGCCGAGATGCCAGGCAGCGGCTCCATGGTGGGCCCTCACTAGGCGTCACTGCCTAGGACACTCTGTAAGTTAAGTGTGTGTGTGAAGAGTGACATTTTTCTAATCCTCTCCTCTCTCCCCGGGAACTTCTTCTTCCCTCCTCAACTTCCTCCACCACAGCAGTTTTATAAGGAAGGTTCAAAAAGCAAATCAGAAGAGAAAGCCCAGGTGTGTGGTTGACATTTGTCTCCAATCTTGCAGTTCATGTGGCCTGAAATCTGCAGGTGTTGGTGTTTGCTCCAGGAGCCAAACCTTCTGAAGCCCACCTCCCAGTCTGGACCTCCACATAGGGGCTTCTCAGCCACTCTCACACCAGCCCTGGGTGGTGTGCAGGGAAGGGTGAAGTCCTTAGATGAGGGTGGGGGCAGCCTCAAGGTGCCATGCTCTTTGTGACTTGGATCCAGTCACATGGGAGCCTCCCTGGCTCCCATTGCAGCAATCCTGAAATGAATTAAGAACACCTGCAGTTTTCCTCCATCGCTCACAGTCATCTCTCATGCTCAAAAGTCAGATGGGGCAGAAGTGGCACCTGCACAGAGTCTGTAAGTGGCAGCTGATGAAGACCTGCAATCAGAATTCTCCAAAGAGGTTCTCTGACAGATACTAGTGCGGCTGACGGAACCTTGCAGGGGCACAAAAAGCAGAACAGGTGAAACCTGGTGGGAAGAAGGAACCACAGACATAGGAGTAGCTGCCAATTCCACCTGTCCTTCAGAACCCAATCATATCTGTATTCTTCTAAATGCTTCTTGGGGAGCATATGCTACAATAAGAAAGCCATTAGAAAAAGTGGTTAAAAGAGCAACCCTGGGCTCAGGTGTGACATACTCCAGGAGGGCTTTCCAACGACACCCAAGCCCAGATAGGGTGAGTGTCCGTTACCTCCCTATTCACAGTGACCGAGCTGGTCCTTTGAATGGACCCATTACCCTGTGTCCTCTTGTCTGGATTCTAGCCCATTTGGCTCTTCTGCTTGGGGTCTGGTTCAGTATGGTCTGGTTTAGCTTTTGGAAGGGTCAGCTGACTTAGCTCAAGTGTACTGGGGTGGAACTGCTACTATTTTATAGATGTGGAAACTGAGGTTCAACAAGTCTGCCTAGGGCAGGCTCGTGTGATGTCTTCCTAAAGACACACAAGGTTATAAAGTCTTCGTAAAATTCATCTCTGTCAAGAGGGAACCTCCAGAGGGCCTCAGGAGGAGATAGACTCCTTTATCGAGCACACCCAAGCCTTACAAACACATCACCTGTTGACCTTGTGGGCAGAAAACAGTGAATTTAGTTTTGTTTTTTTTAAAACTTACCTGGTGCTCACAAAGTTAGAAATTCGCTTGTAGCCAATAAATGCATTTTCTAAGGTATTCTCTAATTTGTTGTAGCAGGAGTTAAGGGAAAAAGAGGGAGAGGGAAAAAACATAAATAGAAACAGAAAAATAGGGCTAGGGCAAAGTAGCAAGAAAACATCTAGAAGGAGGAAAGAAAGTTCTTGGGATATCCTGCAGAATTCAAAGGAATAACCTTGTTACCACACTGTAAAAGGTTAATCAATCTCCTCTCTCTCTCTCTCTCTCTCTCTCTCTCTCTCTCTCTCTCTCTCTTTCTCTCTCTCCCTCTCTCTCTTGTGTATGTGGGGGGTTGAGATAGGGTTACAAATTAGCAATCCTCCTGCACCTCCCGAGTGCTGGGATTACAGGCATGTGCCATCATACCCAACTAGTATTTCTTTTTTAAAGCTTTACGCTCTGTTTACATAGTCACCAAGTTACCCTTCTATCCTGTCAATTAAACATCCTAGTGTTCACAGGATACCTGTGAGCCTCTAAGGTGAAAAGATGCTGTGCGCCAGGATCTTCCTGGGGTCATGGGTGGGTGCAAGTGGAGCAACAGAACACCATGAGGTGCGAGGGATAGGAGCCACCCAGAGGACAACCCTAACACCACCTGGATGCTGGTGCAGAGGCATCCCCAGGAATGGACCCCCAATGGGCTGATGCCAGGCCAGGAGGCAGGGATGGAGTGAGGGGCTTTCTACCAAGATAGAATGGCAAGAGCAAGTGTGCAGAGGACCCTGCACAGCTCCCAGGTCAGGAATCCCAGCTCCCAGGGTCTTCTCTCTCTCTCTCTCTCTCTCTCTCTCTCTCTCTCTCTCTCTCTCTGTCTCTCTCTCTCTCTGGCAGCATTGGTGTTTGAACTCCAGGCTTCAGGCTTGCTAGGCAGGCACTCTACCATTTGAGTGACTCTACCGGCCCAGAGGGTCTGTTTCTCTAAGAGCCCCTCCTAGAGGAAAGGAGGGGCAGTTGTCCTTTGTTCCTTGGAAATGCTGCCACAGAAATCCCTTCTCTTGCTTCTAGTAGCTGAGTAGAGCAGGAAGCAGGACAGTTCTGTCACTGGCAACCACACCTCAGCTGCCTCCCCTCCCCCAGCCTTCTTTGTTCCCAGTCCTGGGATGGGCTAGGATGGTGCCTGGATCCTTAAGCGTACAGCCTTTGAATGAGGGATCTCTGGTCATGCTGAGCCAGGTCCTCAGTTCCCCTCAAGCAGCAGCTCCAGCCTCCGAGATTCAGATTCCGTGACCCCAGGATAGGGAACCAGACCCAGCATCTCAAGGGCATGCTCTTGGGGTGGAGGACAGGTTGCCATTTCTTCTCTTAGTGCTCATATTTCTGAGGGACCACCACCAAGCACCACCCTAATGCTGCCTGGTAGAGGCAGCTTTTCCAGTTGGAAGGCCCTGGATTAGGATTTCTATTGTGACCCAGCCGGAGCAGCCAAGCCTGACCGTCCAAGTTCCCTGAACATCTCAGGCACCAGCTTGAATCATTCCCCAAACACAGTGCCATAGTCTAGCTCCCAGTGCACCCAGATCATGAAGTCCCTGGTCCCTAGGGAGGAGGTGCCCTGATCCCATGCCCATGTCATCCATGTTCACATCCACTGCCATTGTCATATGTCTGCTCCAGAAACTACTCAGCTCTGCCCGAGATGGACAGGAGCCTTTATTCTGGGAGCTGGGAGATGACACCTGAAGCCGGACAGGGCTTTATCTGGGGGCTGGCGCTGCTGAATAATGAATTCCGACTCTGCGTGTGCACTCCCAGGCTGCTGGCTGGGTGCACAACACATGCTGGGCTGACAACTCGGAGGGGCGGGAGCTGGCAGGACCGCGAGGCTCTGGGAGTTGCTGGAAGGAGCAGCTCGCTAGCTCGGTTGCCTTGGTCTCTGTGGGCAGCATCAGGAGGAGGAGGAGGCAGCAGGGAGAGGAGGGAGGCGTGTGAGCCGCACTCCACCAGCTAGCTCCTTCCCCGCTGCTCCGCCTGGCAGTGCCCAGGCTTCCTCACCAGCATGGCCCTGTTCGTCATCCTCAAGACCGTCTCTGAGCTGCGGGGCAAGAGTGATCGGATCGCCAAAGTGACTTTCCGAGGTAGGGAAGCCCCTGTCTCAGAGGGACCCCAGTTCTGCAAGCTAGCCCATTCCGTGCCACGGAAGCTGACATGCATAAGCAGGGCTGGGAAGGTGGCTGGAATGTTCTTTCAGGTGCTAGGGCCATGAGGCTTTGCAGGGGTGGCCCTTTGTCCCTGGTCTGCCTGGCCTTGAGGCCCCCTGAGAATCAGGGTCCTCTGTGTTTCCACCTCTCTCTCTCTCTCTCTCTCTTTCTCTCTCTCTCTCTCTGCATTGCCAACATGCCAGTGCCCAGCAGGGTGCAGAGCCCTCTGCTCAGGGTGACAGAAGCAAGGAGCCCACCCTTGGTCTCAGGGGAACCCAGGACTGAGGTCCCTGCAGAGCTTTCCTGGGCCGCCTTCTCCCCCACCTTCTGCAGGCTGGTTTCCTTGTCTAGACCTGGAACCTCCAGGGTAGCTGGTAGAAAGAAGGCAACCAGTGGCCCTCTGGACCCCAGTTTGATGGGGATACCATTGGCTTCTCCTGTGTTCCTGGGGAGGGACCCTGCCAGCTGCCTAGCCTCTCCTCTGCTGATTCTCTTCCTAACTATCTTCAACTAGTGTTCAGCAGCCATGATTACGATCTAGGCAGGATGCTGAAGACATGCAGAGTGTGAGCCAGGCCTTGGACTTAAGAAGACACATCCAGTGGAGCACCAGTGGGCAGACAAGCAGGGCATGTATGTTATACATAGAGGTTGAAGACAAGAGCACCCTAAACCAGGGTGGGGGCTGGAAGTCAGGGAAGGCTTCCAGGAGGAGGCAATCAATGCTCAACTGAAGCCTGAGAACAAGCAGGAGGAGCAAGGGGAGGTGATAACAGAGGAGGCAGAGGGAATTGGATACACAAGACCTGAAGAGGAGCTGGAATAAGGAAGGGACAGAGGCTGCATGAGGCTGGAACCCCAAAAGGGTACCAAAGTACTGCACTCAGGACAGTTGGCAGCCCCTGAGATTTCAAATAGAGAAAGGCAGAGCCAGGCTTACCTCTGTCTTTTACCCACCCACTTCAACCTCTCTGTCTAGCCACAGTTCAACCCTGACCAAAGGCCAGGGAACTCCT